AAAAAAAAAAAAAAAAAGATTACAGCCAAGAAAAACCTATGGGGCAGTTCTACCCTGTCACATAGGGTCCCTAAGAGTCAAATTCAACTCAACAGCACCTAACAACCACCACCTCTCCTTATGTGTATTCTCAGTTGATGACCCTGTTTCCTATTTCACTGAAAAAACTAACACAATCAAAAGACCTTCCACAAATTCCCTTTATACCTACCTGAGTTGGTGCTGATATATTTTGCTATCCCTCCAGCAATTCTACCCTCTCCAGTGCACTGCCAATTTTCCCTTTCTCTACAAGCCCATTTCCATCAGCTTACAAACATGCTGTAATTTCTCCCACATAAAACTCAACTGCTCTTCCCATTTAAGCTACCACCCCATGTCTCCCCTGTCCAAGGCAACTCTTCCAAATAGTCTTAACCCACCGTCTCCAATTCCTCACCTCCCCATTCTCCTTGAACCAATCAGGCTTTCACACTTACTACTCCTAAAAACTGTTCTTTCCAAGTTCACAAAGTCCTCCAATACTCATTTACTCCAATGGCTTTACAGAGTTGTTCATTCCCTCCACCTGAACACCTTCTTCATTTGGCTTCCCAGATATCTCTAGGTTTTTCTCCTATCTCAGTTGCCATTCCTTCTCAGTCTCCTTTGCTGGTTTCTCCCCAACTCTCAATTTGTAACACTTGCACACCCCAAGGCTCAATCCTTCCCATAGCTTTACCTTTACCATCTCCATTTTTATCTCGAGACCAGAAAGATTCCGAATGCCAGACTCATATACCTAACTGCCTATTCAATGTCTCCATTTGGATGCCTAAACAGGCATATAAAAACCTAACAAGTCTAAAACCAAAATCTTGACAACATCCCCCCTCTTTATTCCCCATATTCTCCATTTAAGAAACTGGAACTCTGTCTTTCAAGTTGCTGAAGGCAAAATATCTGTACTCATTGACCCCTTTGTTTCTCTCACACCCCACAACCAATCTGTCTCCAAACTATGTAACTTAAATGTAACTAGAATCCAACCACTTTTTGCCACTTTCCCTGTTACCACTCTGGTCGAACTCACCATAACTCAATGGAATTACCGCAATAACCTCCTGACTCCTTCTACTTTCAACATATCTGCCAGAATGATCTTTTGGTAATTGTTGTTAGTCAGTTCTGACTCATGGCAAATTATATCACTTGACTGCTCAATCCAATGACTTCCCATCTCAATCAGAGAAAAAGCCCACAATGGACTGGAGAGCCTATTCTCTCTGACCACCCCTTACCCTTCTGACCTCTACCCTCTTCTCCTTGCTTAGGCTACATTCAGCCACACTGGCTTCCCTGTCCCCTGAACACAATTTCCATCTCAGGGCCTTTTGAACTTGCTCTTCCCTCTGCCTAGAAAATTCTTCTCCCAGTTATCCATAGAGCTCAGTCCCTCACCTTCAGGTGTTTTGCTCATATGCCACTTTCTTGGTGAGTGCTTTCTTAACTACCCTTCCCAATCTCTCATCCTTGATTTTCCTCCAGCACACTCATTATCATCAAATATATTGTTTACTTTGCTTAATGTATGTTTTTATTGTCTACCTCTCCCCACCAGAATATTAGTTTCATGACAAAAGAGTTTTATTTGTTCTGTTCACTTGATCCTTACCTTAGAATCAAGAACAGTGCGTGCCACATGGAAGTGGCTCACCAAATTATTTATTGAATAAATAAAATGAGTTCTTAGTTTGCTACTAGAATGCCTTCAATATGGAATTATCTGCTAATCTCCTTTACAGAGAGTACTAGAACAAGCTAGTGGAAGTTATTGGGACCTGAAGTCCTAAAAATCAAAGAGCCAACGGCTCAAAGTGCGCTTGGGAGGTAAAAGGCAGCTCAGAACAGGCAGCCCCGCCATCTCAGGAACCTCCACGGCAGAGACCAAGGCGTGGCAGCCACATTCCGGCCCTTACCAATGTTGCCTTCGACGGAGAGCCTTCGGGGGCCGCGCTCCGCGTGCATGCCCCTTGAGGGGCACGCGCCCTCGAGTAGACTCTGTGCCATGGGACTGGGAGGTGCCCGCAAAAGCCTTGGCAACAGCCTTCCCACGACCATTCTACCCACGATCCGCGCAGAGATCACTTCCGTTGAGGGAACTTCCGCCTCAAGTACCGTAGTTCTCCCTCTCCGGCGCACCGCTGACGTCAGAAAACCGCCAGGCAGGAAATGGGTGGGACTGAGTGGGACTGAGCTGGCTGGGAGGGAGGGAGCTGGGTTGTTGCTGTTGTCATGTGTTTTGGAGTCGGACCGACTCATAGCGACCCCTCCTTGGGTTTTCGAGGAAGTATCACTACGGAAGTAGATTGCCCCATCTGCCTTCCGAGGAGTGGCTGGTGGGTTTGAACCACCAGCCTCCTAGTTAGCAGTCAAGTGCCTTAGGCACTATGCTACCAGAGCTCCTAAGCTGGCTGGGAGGGAGGGGGGGCCAGGGACCTATCAGTTTTCGCCAGTTGGTAGAGAAGCGTTGTGCGAAAGAAAAGTCTTGATGTGTGGGGGTGCATGAGAGTTTGCTGTAACTGGAGATGCTACGGAGGGTAAGCCCTCTATTTAACAGATAACTCTACAATCCCACGACCTTTGCATTTTTTAATAACTTCACAATAATTTGGTAAAACAAATCAAAATAGTAGTTTTAAGAGGTTTCTTTTTCCAGGTGTTTGTTGTCTGGTTTTTATTCTCGCGTAGGAAGAAATTGAACAGTTTTATGTAGAAATGACGCGATCTGATGATCAAGTTACACACATTAACTTTTTTACATTTCCTGTAACTTTCAGCATAATGCTGGTACATTATTGAATAAATTTACAAATCGGTTCATCATTTATACCCCACCTCTTATTTCCTCTCTTGAATAAATAAACGTTCACTCAGTCTAATGGCATGAGGGTGAAAATGCAATCAAGTTAAAGTTTTGCAAGCTCAGGAAGGTGACTGAAACTCAGTTTGAACCATATGCTTACACTGGGTTTTGTGGATGTGAAGAACAGCAGGGGTAGAGTGGATTGAAATGGGATTTGTAAAGAGCTGAGAAGAGCAAAGGTAAGAGAGTTAAAACCAAACAAACCCAGTCAGTTGTGGTCCAATCGCAAGGTAATCCCATGTGTGGCACAGTAGAACCGTGCTCCCTAGCGTTCCTTAAGGAAACAGATCACCAGGCCGTTGTTCTGAGATGCCCTGAGTGGGTTCCAGCTGCCAACCTTTCAGTTAGTAGTGGAATGACTGATCATCTGCACTGGTTTATAAAACGAGCTCTGCTGTCGGTGGAGAGTTAAACTCTTCTGATTGGCAGAAGAACCCTGCTGAGCACCTGTCATCCAGTGAGGCCTTGACTGCTTCCTTCTGCCACATCCCAATGTCATAACCACCTCAGTGGGTGAAGCACTTGGCTCTTAAATGAGAGGTCAGTGGTTCGAACCCATTCCCAGCTCTATGGGTGAAAAGACCTGGTGATCTGCTCTTGTAAAGATTATATCCTAAGAAACCCTGTGGGACAGTTCTTCCCTGTCCTATATGGCTGCTTTGAGCCAGAATCAACTTGATGAGCACACAACAACAGTCAAAATGCTTCCACCTTCTGTCTCTTAAACCAGAAAAGTCAAACCAGGAGTCAACAGGCCAGTGGGCATTCAAGCAAAATTCTTAGATGTGAGAGGTTTTAGGAGACGGTGATCTGATTGCAAGGGAGGTGGAGAGGAGTCAGTGGCTGGGACACCTGTCTTGAAGCTGTTTGCATATCAATCTTTGTTGTTGTTGTTGTTGTTATGTGCCGTCGAGTATCAATCTTTAGTTCAGTAAATTACTTAATATGGCTCTTCTGGCTATGGTCTTTGTAACTCTCACCAAATGACTAAATGGGACTATTGCAAATGAGGTGATGTGTCCTACCAAGGGGACTGGATAACTTGCTAATAATGTAAATAAGGTGCATGGTACCTTTGTCAGGTTGGGACCATGCAAATAAGGTGTATGGAACCCTAATGAGGAGAGGATTGGTCAGTTTTCCATCCAGCGAGGCTTAAAATGAGCCATCTCAGAGGCAGAAAGGTGGACCTCATGACCACCAAGAAAGAAGAGCCAGGCATGAAGCACGTCCTTTGAACCTGGGATCCCTGCACTTAGAACCTGCTACAGACAGACAGAGAAATCAGAGACAGCGAAAGACAGCAAGAGGCAGCTGCAGAGAAACTGTGTCAATGGAGGCAGCAGAACCAGGAAACTGGCAAGAGGCTTTCTGGCCCACAGAGTAAGAAAGCTGAGCCCCTTCAATTAGGAGGTTTGCTGGCCGACTGGGAGTTTCCCAGCACTTAATGGCAGAGCTAAGGAACTTTGTAACACTTGCTAGACCAGGACAGAAGCTGAGAGGCTATGGGCATGGCTGAGAGGAAGCTGTCCTGAAGAAGAACTGTATCTTGAGTTGTTTCTCATCCTGAATTGTAATGTTACTTCCCTAGTAAACCCCGTGAGCTTAAGTATGGTCTGTGAGTTCTGTGTGGTCATTGCAACAAATTATTGAACCCGGCAGAGAAGTTGAGAGTGACATGGGAGGGAGGGTTGGTGTCAGAATTAGTAAAAAGAAAGTTGGAGAGAGGAGACATGTCTGACCTCTACCGTATACGAATCAACCGTGGGCTGTTGATCTTGATTCTCCTTCCCTCTTGTGAAGGTTGAGGAGGTCAGACACCATCCTTATGCCAGTTTTACACAGTACAGGACTCTTACATTGAAGTTTATATGGAATGATTGAAGCCATGTTTGCATATTAAACACATTATTGTTAAAATACATTGTAAATTTGTTTAGGATAACTTGTGTGGGGGTGCTAATGGATACTGGTGCAGTTAAAGTCTACCTCACCCTCCACCCCCTCTCCTGCAAGCAATTTTGTATAAAAATACTGCTTAAATTTATTTATGTGAACTCAGGCTTGGAAAATATTCATCCAAAAAGTTTGAGGGGCTCTCTGCATAGGGGTCCCACTGCCTCCACTGCTGTCAGGGTTTTTACGAAGTTAAAATGAGGAAGCTGTCCCCAGGCCTAGGAGCAGACAGCAAGAGTTCCTGAAAGTTGTTATTTTAAAAAACTTCGCAGTAAAGTATAATGTGCCCTGAAAAAAAGAGCACTATGGGAAGTGTAAGGAGTTCTGGTGGCATAGCACCTAAGGTATTTGACTGTTAACCAGAAGGTTGGTGGTTCAAACCCACTAGCCACTCCACAAAAGGAAGACTGGGCAATCTACTTCCATAAAGATTTACCACCTCGGAAACTCAAAGGGGGTCACTATGGGTTGGAATCGACTTGATGGCAGTGAGTTTGGGGTTTTTTGTTGTTTGTCTTTTGGTTTTTATGATAAGTATATATAACTCAATGAAATTGTCACAAACTGAATACACTTGTGTCACCTTGATCCAGATCAAAAAAGAGAACACTATCAGCATCCCCAGCAGCCTCTTCCAGGCCCCTTACCCATCACTGTCCCCATTTTTTGTCCACTAGCCTGACTTCTAACAGCAGAGATTAGTCTTGTTCTTTATGTAAATTATATATAGTAAGTATTCTTTTGTATCTGGGTTCTTTCATTCAACATAATATCTGAGGGATTAATCCATATCATATGTGTAGTTCGTTCTCATTGCTATATCCAAAACCAAACCCACTGCTATCAAGTCAATTCTGACTCATAGCAACCCTTTAGGACAGAACAGAACTGCCCCACAGAGTTTACAAGGCTGTAATTCTTTATGGAAGCAGTCTGCCTCCTTTTTCTCCCACAGAGTGGCTGGTGGGTTTGAACCACCAACCTTTTAGTTAGCAGTCAAATCCTTTAACCATTATGCCACCAGAACTCCTTTTCATAGCTGTATAGCATTTGAATATGTCATTGAACCACAACTTATTTTATCCATTCAACTGTTGATGGACATTTGGGAATTTCTAGATTTGGGTTATTATTAATAGTGTTGCTATGAACATTCTTGTATGTGTTTTTGGTAAACATAAGTATGCATTTCTGTAGAGTGTATACCTAGGAGTGGAATTGCTGGGTCATAGGTCATATGTGTGTTCAGATTTAGTAGCTATTCCCAAATAGTAGATGGTTTCACAGATTTGATTGTACCAGTTCACACTGCCACCATCAGTGAGTGGGAATTCTGGTTGTTCCACATTCTCATCCACAGTTGGTACTGTCAGGTTTTTACATTTTTTCCATTCTGGTGTGTATGTATCTTATTAGTTTTAATGTTCATTCTCCCAGCAGTTAATGAAGTTTAACACCTCTGCGTTTGTTTGTTGGCCATTTGGGTGTCCTGTTTTAGGAAGGATCTGTTTAAGCCCTGTGTCCATTTTTCTGTTGCATTGTTTATCACATACTCATTGACTTACGGTTCTTCATAAATTATGGATCTGAGTCATTTGCAAATATTTTTTCATGCTGTGACTTGCTTCTAAGAGCTTTTTACATTTTTTGATATAGTATAAAGTAAGAAACTGTTTTCTGTCTAACTTGACTGTCAGTTATCCTAATATCAACATTACTAATAATGGTCAGCTGTATTCTTACCTATGTCTAAAATGTCCTAATGTGCTAGCTTGTATCAATTTATTTTGTTTTATTTTAACATTTTATTGTGCTTTAGATGAAAGTTTACGTAGCAAATCCATTTTCCAATCAAGAGTTCATATGCAAATTGCAAATAGTTCTGGGACATTGGTTGTGTTGTGGTTACCTAGGGCTGCTCTGACAAGAATAGACCACAAATGGGAAGGCCTTAACAAACAGGAGTTTATTCTTACAATTTGGAGCCTATAAGTCCAATTTCAAAGTGCCAGGCTCTAGGGGTTGGGTGAAAGCCCCTCAGCCTTGGGCTTCAGCTCTGCCTCCAGCTCCCAGCCCACTGAAGCTAGAGGCGTTTATTCACTCAGCTGCTGGCTGCTGAGGCTGACAAGCCCAAGGTTGACAAATAAAAAGGCAGAGTCCCAATATTACCAAATCATACGGCAGGCCATTAATTCAAGTCCATTGTAAGTCCCCAGGTCGGCAGAGCATGGCAGGCTGCTGAGCAATGACGCAGCTATGTGCAGGGTCCAAGTGTACCATAGACTAGAGACCATTCCCCAAAGCTGCTTCTTATAT